AGGTTGGAGCTGCCAAGGGCGAGGCCGAGGGTTTAAAGCTCGAGATCGAGCGTTTGAAGATTGATTTCGAAACTCACCTGGTTGAAGCTCGAGGGGTTGCGATCTAGGATTTCAAAATATCCGAGGAGTTCAACGGGCTTAAGAGAGAGTACGCCATGGGCTCGTACTTCCATGCTTTCAAGGAGGCTCGGGCATTTTTGAGGTCGAAGCCTGACGCCAAACCTAAGGATTTAAAGAGCATCCCTGAGGTTGCTGATGACCTCGTGCTTTCAGAATCCGAGGAAACCATCGAGGACCATGAGGTTGATATTGACGGCGAGGACGCAGTGGAGGAGCAGGGGAGCACGGCCTCGGGAGAAAGAGCTGAGGACCTAGATTAGTTTATGTTTTTTCTTATGATGACATCCCCCGTCTTTTGTATTTTGAACAAGTATTCTGCTTGATCAAGTACTTTTCTTTTTGCGCGTGTATAGCTGATGTCTTGATCATGACAAACTCAAATAGCTCGACGTTCAAATGGTTCAATAACTTGACGCCTAATATGAATTGAAAAATCGACGCCTAGAGTAGTTAAATATCTCGAGGACTCAATTTGTAAAATCATTTCCGAACATTATAGCATGTACACAAAGTTATCCCGAGGACTCAATTGTAAAATCATTTTTGAACATCAAGTGTTGAACTCGAGCATGTAGACAAGTTATCTCGAGGACTCAATTTGTAAACTCATTTATTAACATTATGTATTGAGCTCGAGCTTGCACAAAGTTATCTCGACGACAAAAAAAGATTAATTATCTCGACGATGAATTAATCATCTCAACGATTGAGAAGAAATAATTCGATTTTAAACAAGTCATGTTGCCGAGGATAGTGGTGAATGTAGGATGTAGTTTAACACTTGACGGTAAAAAATATCCCGACGTCTAAGATAACTTAATTCTCGACGATTGAGAAGAATTAATTCGATTTTAAGCGTATCATAAGGCCGAGGATAGTGATGAATGTAGGATATAGTTTAACATCTTGATAAAATTATCCCGACGTCAGTATTGAATTACCTCGAGGACTAATGGCAAGGGGTGGTAACCTCGAGGTGTATGAAGAAATGTGACTGACCTCTGTACAGAAGTATATCCCGAGCGTTCACTTTGGAACCTTAGACAAAAATTCAAGGATAGATGTATGTCCTCGGGATGTTTATTTGTGCTGCACGATTTTGATGTGCTGATTATGGGCTCCAAGGTTTTGGTACTTTCTCGGGGCAAGGCTTTGGACTGCTTGCTCGAGGGCAAGGCTTACATTGCTTGTCGAGGACAAGGCTTAGGGCGGCTCGCTCGAGGGCAAGGCTTACATTGGCTTGTTGAGGACAATGCTTAGGGCGGCTTGCTCGAGGGCAAGACTTACATTGGCTTGTCGAGGACAAGGCTTAGGGCGGCTTGCTCGAGGGCAAGGCTTACATTGGCTTGTCGAGAACAAGGCTTAGGTAATTCCTGGACGTAAAGCAAACTATCGGGCTATTATACCCGAGGTTTGAATTTATTAATTCCTCGGACTGGACTCGAATTTATATTGTATCCAAACTATCTACGTACCCAAACGGGATCAAGCCGAACGTAGTTCATTACAAAAGAAAATGAAAAACATGCATGGGCACACAGGCCCGCTAAACTAGAAATAAAATACAAGGGCACACAGGCCCGAAGAACCAAAAATAACATTCAGAAGAATTAAAAATGTAGGAATAAAAAGAAAATCTAGATGGCATCGAGAATGTTACTTGTAATATATTTTCAGATTATCGGCATTCCAGGGCCTTGGAAGAGGTCTACCCGAAGTGTCTCTTAGGCTGTATGCTCCTTTGTGAACCTGTCATATGACCTCAAAAGGTCCTTCCCAGATGGGCCCGAGCTTCCCTGGGGGATGACCTGCTACTTCGACCCTCCTCAAGACCAAGTCGCCAGCTCTGAACCTCCGAGTCTTGACTTTGCTATTAAAATGTTTTGCTGTCTTAGTTTGGTAAGAGGCCACCTTTATAGCGGCTTGCTCCCGTACTTCTTCCAAGAAATCAAGGTGTTCAGTTGTATGCCCCGAGATTTCTGGCACGAGCCTCCTATGGCTTGGCAGTCTAATTTCCACCAGGACCATTGCTTCAATGCCATAGGCTAACATAAAATGGGTTTCTCCTGTGGTTGTCCTATAAGTTGTTCTATACGTCCATAGTATAGAAGGCAGCTCGTCAGACCAAGAACCCCTAGCATTACTAATTCTTGTTCGGAGGTCTTGTAATATGATTCGATTTGTTACCTCGGCCAGACCATTGCTCCGAGGATGCGAAACTGAAGTCAAACGATGATCAATCCCAAGGTTTGAGCAAAAGTTCCTAAACTGTTGATTGTCAAATTGCCTGCCATTGTCGGTGATGAGGACCTTCGGTATCCCAAACCTGCAAATGATAGACCTCCAAGTGAAGGCTCTTAACTTGGGCTCCGATATAGTAGCGAGAGGTTCGGCCTCTGCCCATTTTGTGAAATACTTTACTGCTACAGCAACAAACTTTAATTGACCTCTTGCCACAGGAAAGGGGCCGAGGATGTCAACTCTCCATTGTTCAAACGGGGCCGAACAGTTAATGGTGGTTAGGTTTTCGGCTGGTGAATGGATAACATTACCAAACCTCTGGCACCTATCACATCTCTTAACATATTCTGAGGCATCTTTCTTCATAGTTGGCCAATAGTACCCATATCGTATGAGTTTAAAGGCCAGGCCCCTGGCTCCTTAATGATTTCCGCACACACCTTCATGAACTTCAGCAAGGGCCTGGGATGATTCTGATGGTCTAAGGCACCTTAGGTATGGAAGAGTAATACTTCTGTGAAAGAGAACACCGCTGATCATGCAGTACCTAGGAGCTCGAGCTCTGATGCTTCTAGCCAAGCTAGCATCGCTTGGTAGATTTCCACTTGTGATGAATTCTATGATTGGGTCCATCCAAGATGGTTCGTTGTCAATGTCCAGGACATCGAGGATTTGATTGATGCTGGGTTCTATGATGACTTTGATGTAAAATGTTCTGTCCAGGCTGTCTACCACCATGAACACAAGCCTGGATAATGCATCGACTTTTTCGTTGTCCTTTCGAGCAATTTTTGCAATTTCACAACTCTTGAATTTTCGTTGAAGATCTTAAACCTTCATGCAGTACAAACTTATATTCTCGTCTTTCCTTTCAAATGATCCTTCAATCTGTCCGACCACCAATTGTGAATCGCTGAATACCTTCACGAACTCTAGCTCAAGGCTAAGGGCTAGCTCCAGAGCAATGACGATGGCCTCATACTCGGCCTCATTATTGGTTGCTTCAAACTCGAACCTAAGAGCGCATTGAATCTCCGTATGTTTGTCAGGGCTAATGATAATGACCCCTGCACCCGAGCCCGAGGAGTTTGATGCTCCATCTACAAAAATTTGCCAAGTGTCCAAATTGGTGCTCATGCTCGAGCTGTCACCTGGCCCCCGAGGCCTAGGGGTTAGTTCTGCAATGAAGTTGGCTAGTGCTTGGGCTTTGATAGATGGGCGTGGTTTGAATTCGATGTCAAATTCTCCAAGCTGGATCGCCCATTTCATCAGTCTTCCTGAGACGTCCGACTTCTGAAGTATATGCCTAAGTGGTTGATTAGTGAGTACCACAATAGGGTGAGACTGAAAATACTGCCGGAGTTTCCGTGCTACTATTAACAAGGCAAGGGTAAGTTGTTCCGCCAAAGTATACCTTGTTTCCGCATCTAGTAAGACCTTGCTTACATAGTAGATAGGTTGTTGGACTCTGTTAACCTCTTTCACCAAGACCCCGCTGACCTCGTTTTGAGATATGGTCAGGTACAAAAATAAGGTGTCACCAGGCTCAGGCCTAGTGAGAATATGAGGAGATGCCAATGTTTGCTTGAGCTCCTGAAAAGCTTTCTCACAGTCTTCACTCCAATCAAAGCCTTGGCTTCCTCTGAGGACTTTGAAGAAGGGATAGCGCCTGTCTGATGCTCGGGACATGAACCTATTCAAGGCTGCTATCCTACCAGTCAACTTCTGTACCTCTTTCTTGTTCCTTGGTGATTCCATAGATGCCAAGGCTTGTATTTTGTTAAGGTTAGCCTCTATTCCCGGTGAGTGATCATAAAGCCTAAGAACTTGCCCGAGGCTACGCCAAATGCACATTTTGCGGGGTTCAACTTCATTATGTACTTTCGCAAGGTGTCAAAAACCTCTTCAAGATCTGAAATATGCTGGTCCACCTGTTTGCTCTTGACCACCATGTCATCAACGTACGCCTCCACATTCCTTCCAATCAAGTTGGCAAAGACTTTGTTGATGAGCCTTTGTTATGTTGCCCCTGCATTCTTCAAACCAAAAGGCATGACCTTATAACAGTATATGGCGGAATCGACCATGAATGACGTCTTTTCTTGATCTTCCTCGGCCATGAGGATTTGATGATAACCAGAAAATGCATCCAAGAAGCTGTATAGCTTATGTCCAGATGTGCTATCCACCAAGTTGTCAATCCGAGGTAGGGGATAACTATCCTTTGGACATGCTTTGTTAAGATCTGTGAAGTCAATACAGACCCTCCACTTACCATTGGCCTTCTTCACTAAAACAATATTGGCAAGCCAATCGGGATATTGGACCTCCCGAGTGAATTGAGCACTGACGAGTTTGTTAATTTCTTCACGAATGATCTCCCGACGTTCTAGGGCAAACTGTCTTTTCCTCTGCTTTACTGGTCTGGCCCCTGGGCTAATGTTAAGCCTGTGGACTGCAATTTTGGGGTCTATCTCTAGCATATCCTCACCCTTCCAGGCAAAAACGTCAATGTTACGAGATAAGCAACCAATAAGTTCTGTCTTTAGGGTGGCGTCAAGATCCCGACCAATCGTCATCTTCTTATCATGCTCAAGCTCGATTTCCATCAATTCTTCGACAGGAGCAAGTCTGACTTGTTACCCGGTCTCGGGCTCCGTCCTTGAGATTTGCATGACGTCGTTATTTATTTCCCGAACGCTAGTAACATAGCATTGTCTAGCAGCTGTTTGGTCTCCACGCACAACCCCAATGCCATTACTTGTTGGAAACTTCATGGCTAGGTGGAAGGTAGACACAATGGCTTTGATCTTGTTCAGGAGTGGTCTTCCCAAAATAGCGTTATAGGCCATTGAGACACTTACCACTTGAAAAGATGTCATCTCTGTAACCTGTTTCTGGCTAGAACCCAAAGTTAAAGGAAGCTCGACGACACCCTCTGGAGTGATGACTCCTCCTCCAAACCCCTGGAGAGGAGTTTTAACCACTTTGAGATGCTGAGATGAGATTCCCATTTTGGCAAAAGCCTCTTGTGAAAGTATATTGGCCGCACTCCCGTTGTCAACCAAGATTATCTTTACTTCAAAATTGGCCACAATCGCTGAGATGGCCAAGGCGTCATCATGTAGAAGTGATACACCTTCCAAGTCCCTGGTTCCAAAAGTAATATCCTCCAACTTTCCATGAGGCATCCCAAAGGCCAAGGTATATTGTCGGGCGTATTGTTTTCTTCCACTGTTCAAGTCTCCTCCCGAGGCAATACCCCCAATGATGATATTGATGGTTCCAGCAGTGGGTTGACCATCCATTTTTGCTTCAGGGGCTCTTTCCCTACCACGATCATTCCTCGGGCGTTTGTCATTATCGACGTAGGAACTCAGGAGTCCTCTTTTAATAAGGGCTTCAATCTCCCGTTGCAGGGCCTTACAGTTTTTCGTGGTATGCCCATGATCCCGATGGAACTCATAGTACGTGTTCATATCCCTGGATTCGGGTGGTGACCTCATTCTGACAGGCCATTTAAGTTTCTTCATATCATTGATCTCCATCAATATATTTGTTTTTGACGTATTTAAACACGTGAATGACGTCGGGGGAACCTCCTGTCTCTGTTTTCTCCGAGGTGGTTCTTGACGGGGGTTCGGGTCGTGCTGTCGTTTATGCTCGACCCTATCATGGAATGGTCCAACCTTTCTCGGGTTTAGTATTTCCTCCATATTTATGTACTTCTCGGCTCGGGTAAGAAGCTCAGTCACTATCTTTGGCGGAGTTTTGGATAAAGACATCTTGAAAGCCTCACACTTTATGGCATATGTGAGGGCAGAAACTGCTGCAGTTATATGTAGGTCGGAAATTTGAAGTCTTTCCTTGTTGAACCTGGTCATGAAGTCACGTAGGGTCTCATTCTGCCCTTGTCTAAGTTGCATGAGGGAAGCCGCTATCTTCCTGATGCATTTACTGCTTGCGAAGAAAGTAGAGAACTTATCTGCCAAATCCGAGAATGAGGCTATGGAGTTGGGCTCTAAGGTTGAGAACCAATCCCTAGCAGCATTCGTCAAAGTTTGCGGGAAGGCCTTGCACATTACCTGATCCGGTGCGACCTGTAGATTCATGACGTCCATGTATACGTTAAGATGTTTGATTGGATCGGTGGTCCTGTCATATTCTTTGATCCTAGGATACTTAAATCTGTCTGGCAAGGGGAATGTCAATATCTCGGGAGTAAAGGGAGTGTTGGGACTGAATCTTGCTGATCCTTTGTTGCCTTGAAGTAGGCCCGCCGTAATTCCTTCTTGAATAATCCTAGCGAACTCCCCGGACTCCATGGTCACTGATCTTAAAGCTGAGGTCACATGTGGTATGCCCGAGGCCCCTGCTCCGCCATTGTCAGGGACATGTCTCTGAGCTCGAGCTCGAGCATCAGCCATAAAACCCCCCTGGGATGCTGGTGTGGGTGACGGATGCGAATTTCTTTGACTTAGCAACTGAGTCAGTGTGGCGACCTATTGTCTGAGCTCTTCAAAGGCTCCGGTAGTGACGACTGCCAGCTGGGGCTCTGGCACTTCTGATGATTCCTCTTGAGGAATAGGGATATCCTCAGGAGGAGATTGGTTTGGAGTGGATGAGCTTGCTGGTGGAAGACCTGAACGTGTGTTTACCATGGCTTTTGGTAGCGCTTCCCACAGACGGCGCCAATGATGCTACCAAAAATCGTACCTGAGTAATTCCGAGCTGGACGACTGATGATGAGTACGAATGTGATCTTCCAATACCTGAAACAAAGCGTCGAGGTGTGTCCTCATCGCCCCTCCGATGCTTAAGTCAGAGAGAGAATTTGTGCGTAAGGCTATGAACTGAAAATTATGTAAAATGTACCTGAATAATGGCTCAAGGTTCTGTATTTATAGTAGTAAGCGACATTCTCCTAGTGGGACTCAACTAGCTGGATGCCCTTATCTGTTGGAGTCCTAAATAGTTAAGGAGTTGGTCAAATTCCATAATTATATGTGGGACAGAATCCTTGAGGGAGTCAAGAGTCCTAATTGCATAGGAATTCTAAAGGGTCAACCATCGTAGGATGTGAGGGGAGCATATGCCCAAGGACTGATGATACTCGAGGACAAATATTGCAATATGCGAAGCAGCCAGGAGGGATGTGGCCGGGCATAATGTCTCGAGGACACCACATGCTTGTGGACTACATAGTTGGAGTTATAAGTTCATCAAAAAATAGTCGTCGGGATAATTTTATTGATCGGGATGCTGGAAATGTCACTATTAGATATCAATTCCTTAATAAGCGGATCCGCAACCATGAAGTTTGTCCCAATATCTCTATTGACACCTGTCCACTATGAACTCTTTCTTTAATAGCCAGGAACTTGATCTCTATATGTTTTGACTTTGTCGAGCTCCTATTGTTATTGGAATAAGCACTGCTGATTTATTGTCACAAAATATCTTGAGCGGTCTTTCTATATTGTCTACAATGTGCAGTCTAGTGACAAAATTTCGCAGCCATATTCCATGATTCCATGCCTCATAACACGTTATAAACTCTGCTGCCATTGTGGAATTAGCTATGAGTGTATGCTTAGCACTCTTCCAGGAAACAGCACCTCCAGCAAGCAGGTAAATATAGCCTGAAGTGGATCTCCTACTATCTTGGCATCCCGCAAAATCGGAATCAGAATAATCGACGATCTCCAACTGATCCGATCTCATGTATGTGAGCATGTAGTCTTTTGTTCTCTGTAAATATCGCATGACCTGTTTGGCAAATTTCCATTGATCCATTCCCGAGTTACTTAAATATCTCCCTAACATCCCAACAATGTACACTATATCCGGACGAGTATAAACTTGAATATACATTAGACTCCCTATAGCTGAGAAATAAGGAATCTTCTACATTTCTTTGATTTCCAAGTCATTTTTAGGGTACTGACTTAAGCTGAACTTGTCTCCTTTAGCCACTGGGGTGTCACCTAGTTTACAATCTTGCATGTCATATCTTTTAAGTACATTTTCGATATAACTCTTTTGTGATAATTTAAAAATACCCCGAGAACGATCTCGGTGTATCTGAATTCCTAATACAAAGGAGACGTCACCAAGATCTTTCATTTCAAAATTTTTTGCTAGAAATCTCTTAATTTCGTGCAATAAGTCTATATTGTTGTTGGCAAGCAACATGTCATCGACATATAAAACCAAAAAAATATACTTGCTCACACTGAACTTGTGGTATGCACAATCATCGACCAAATTTATCTCAAAACCAAATGAGATGATCACTTGATGAAACTTGTAATACCATTGACGAGACGTTTGTTTGAGTCCATAGATGGATTTCTTTAGTTTACAAATCATTTGCTTTACATCATTCGATACAAAATTTTCTGGTTGTACCATATAAATTGTTTCATCAATGTCACCATTGAGAAACGTTGTCTTAACATCCATCTGATGTAACTCAAGATCGAAATGTGCTACCAATGCCATTATAGTCCTGAAAGAGTCTTTCGAAGAAACCGGAGAGAAGGTCTCTTTATAATCGATGCCTTCTTTCTGTGTAAAGCCATTTACGACAAGACGAGCCTTATACCTCTCTACATCACCCTTCGAATCCCTCTTGGTCTTAAATATCCATTTGCAACCAATGGATTTCGCACCTTCAAGCAATGGAATGAGGTCCCATACATCATTGTCCTTCATGGACTTTATCTCTTCATTCATGGCATCGAGCCACTTTTGAGAGTTAGAACTTTCCATGGCTTGACGAAAATTGATCGAATCATCTTCCACCATTCCAATATCAACTTCATGTTCTTGGAGAAATACGATGTAATCATCTGAAAATGCACTTCTCCTCTCTCTAGTGGATCTTCTTATTGGCATTGGTTCTTGAGGTTGTATAGTTTGTTCTTCTGGAACAATTTGTTGATCTTGAGATGAAGGTATGACATTGTCTTGATCCGCAGTTGCTTCTTGAACAACGTCGGAGATAGAAACCTGATCATTGTCAATGGCAATTGGAGGAATTTTTCCTCCTCAAAGACAAAGCATGTAACCCTTCCCCCCCCCCCCACAAACTCAACATCCTCAAAGAATCGAGCATTTCCTGTTTCGAAAATTGCCTTAGTTGTGGGATCATAAAACTTTTAACCCCTGGACCTTTCAAAATATCCAATAAAATAGCAACTGATAGTCCTTGAGTCCAGTTTCTTTTCATTTAGCTTATAGGGCATTGCCTCAGCTGGACACCCTGAAATGTGTATGTGATTCAAACTAGACTTGTTTCCCGTCCAAAGCTCATATGGGGTTTTATTAGTGGCCTTAGTTGGAACTCTGTTGAGTATATACGCTGCGGTCTTTAATGCTTCACCCCAGAGACTGGTATGGTAGAATAACTAATCATACTCCTCACCGTGTCCTTGAGCGTTTTGTTTCGTCTCTCAGCAACACCATTCATAGTGGGCGAACCCGACATAGTGTATTGTGGGATGACACCGCATTTTTTTAGGAATTTAGCAAATGGTCCTGGACGTTGTTCACCTGAGACGTCATATCTACCATAATATTTAGCCCCCACGGTCAGATCTAATGTTTTTAATCCTTTTCCCGAGTTGGTTCTCAATTTCGACTTTATAGTTTTTGAACACATCCAGTGACTGTAGTTTTTCATGAATGAGATATATGTAACTATATCTAGAAAAGTCATCTATGAACATTATAAAATATTGTTGATCATTCCAAGAACCCGTAGGGAATGGTCCACAAATATCCGTATGTATAAGTTCTAAGACGTCCGAAGTCCTATTGGCTTGAAATCTCCTTTTATTGGTTTGTTTTCCCTTTATACAGTTGACACACAAATCATAATCTGTGAAGTCAAGAGGGTCGAGAATCCCGTCAGACACAAGTCTCTCAATTCTCCTTTTAGAGATGTGACCTAATCTCTTGTACCACAACGAGACAGAATTCTCGTCGATTAATTTTTCACCTCGAGTACTTACATGCAAGGATTCATTAAAAGAAGAAATTGTATCAATTGAATAAAGATTATTATAACCTGATAAAGAATCAGAACCAACCAATTTTGAATCATAAAACAAACTAAATTTTCCATTTCCAAATGAACAAGTATAACCAAATTTGTCCAAAATAGAAATAGAAATCAAATTCTGTCTAAAAGACGGTACAATAAATTTCTCAACAAAATCCAAATAAAATTCAGTCTTTAACAATAATCTAAATTTTCCTATTGCCTCTACTTCCACCTTCTTGCCATCGCCAATGTAGATGCATCTTTGACCATCACTTAGTTTTCGACAACTCAGGTAACCCTGCATAGACATACTAATGTGAATTGTTGTACCAGAATCTATCCACCATGTATGTCTAGGTATCGAAGTTAGATTAACCTCAGAACAAACCAAATAAAGAAGAATACCTTTCTTTACACGCCATGCGTGGTAATTGGTGCAATTCTTTTTCTTATAACCTGCAGCTCCACAGAAGAAACAACTACTTTCAGTTGGTTCCTTATGCTGTTTCTTTTGCGGTGTTGTACCCACAGCTTCCTTATTAATCTTCCTTTTCTTGTTCCTTTTGTCCTTAGAGGTGGTGACTAAATGAGCAATTTCTGTCTTCTCATGCTTCAATCTTTCCTCTTCCTGACACGGTGTGAGATGAGCTCATTAAGGGACCATGAGTCCTTTTGACGGTTGTAGCTCACCTTGAATTGACTGAAATGTGCCAAAAGGGATATCAGAACCAAGTGCCCTAGCAAGTCTTCGAATAAATCCAACTTGAATGCCTTTAGTTTTGAAGCAATGTGAGACATTTTCATAATGTACTCCCAAATGTTTCCTTTCCCTTTATACTTCATCGAGACGAGGTTTGTCAAAAGTGTACTTGTTTCAGCCTTTTCATTCTTGGCAAACTTCTTCTCAAGATCCTCAAGGAAACCCTTAGCCATAATCACCTTATTGGACATAGTGCCCCAGAATACTTCTAGAATAACACACTTCATGACCATTAAGCTTATGCAGTTTGATCGTTCTCACTTTTCCATCTCCCTCTTGTCATCAGAGATACTCTTATCAGTAAGTGCAGCAGGTTGATCGACCCGTAAAGCAAGGTCCAGGTCCATGACTCCGAGAACAATCATCATGTTCTCTTGTCATGCACTGAAGTTTGTACCATTTAGCATTGAAATTGAGTTGATGCTAGCAGAGATATTTGCAGCAGAACCTGAAACTGAATTAGAGAACGATTATTATGAATAGCTCACATGAATATCTTTAATATGCAAATAATAATATTCTCAAATAGTGGTAGGGCCCATCACAAGATATCTAGCACAACATCAATTCTAGTTTTTGGACAGAAATATTGACTTGTAAGTGTTACACTTGGCGTA